ATCCAATGGTGAAGTCAATATGTCTTTGTTTCTAGACTTTACATGATTATTTTCATGTAGAGGAAATAGTTCTGAAATAGAGATCTGGTATCAGTAACTGACATTCATTGCTGCAAGATGTATAACCTTTTCATGAAATTTAAGGCTTAATTGCTGTGAGGTGCTTTGATACAGCTCCTATAAGATGCAAATCAATTGTTTGGATTTTTTTTTTTATTTTACTCATTAACTAGTTGTGTTTTGCTGACAGTTTATAGGTGTAGTACAAGCACTTCTTACATAGGAAGCAACAGCTGCAATGTAGATAGAGGTTGGAAATTATGACTGCTTGAAAAAAAAAAAAAAGTGACAAAATAAGTAATTTCAAAATTCATGTTCAGTGCTGGTATTAAGCTCTTTAAAAATCTTGGTACAAATAAGCCTGGATAAGTTGAAGTGGGAGACTGGGCAGTGGAGTCCAATCCAACCTCTCAGCTTACATCAGGATCAATAGGGAAGGTCACCCAGGACCACGTCCAGATAGCTGTGGAGTCTTCATCCTTGGAAGAACTCAACAACCTGTCTGCGCAAGCTGTTGCACTGTTTGGCAGCCCTTGAACTGGTTGGTTGGTTTTTGTATGTACTGGCACATGGGGTTATTCTCCTGGTGTGGGACTTGGCTTTTCCTTCGCTGAAATTCGTGGGATTCCCGATGTCCCATTTCTCCAGCCTGGTGGTGTTCCTCTGAGTGGTCACACAGCCATCTGGTGTGTCAGCTTGTCCTCCCAGTTCTGTAACAGTGGTGCTTTTTTTTGCTAGTGGTGGTTTCGGTCCCTGTAGTTCAAGTATAGGAGCTGTTCACGTGATGGTTTTTGCTGTAAAAGCACAGTCTTTCAGCTACCTTTTTGTCTGTTGTAATACCATGTGGATCGTTTCGACTCTTCAGAGGTGTAAGTCTTAGTCCATCTTATGTTCCAGCTGATTAGCAGGTGTGTCACTGTCACTTATTATCTTTAGTCAGTAAACATGATTGTTTTACATCAGATGCTTAATGAAAAAGTGAAAAGCGAAGCCAGCCATGAGGAAGCCTGGAAAGGACTGCAAACTGTATGGCCTTTTCCCTGGGGCTGTCGTTGCTGGGATTGGGGGATGGCGCACGGTGCGGCAGACTGGGCTGTGGAAGTTCGAGATGATACTTCCTAGCAGTGTCCTCGGGCAAGGACATCAGGCAGTGATTGCGGTATAGAAATGCAGCAGTTTGTGCCGCCTATGCAGGAGCCAGTAGCCTCTGGCAGAGGAGGCTGGCAGACCCAAGGGCTGTGATATCTTAAACTGCTGTGGCTGAGTCTGCCAGCGTCCATCTCTGACGCCAAAGTCTCATCATCTTGACAGACACGTTAGCACTGGAATGGTTAGGCTCATTTTATCTCCAAGTACTCAACTTCAGTGTACTTCCTTAGCGCTCGCAGTGGTTTCCTAGGTCTGGCTTACCAAAAAGCAGAGTAGCAGAAGCACCAGATTTCAAGCCTTGAAATTGCTCTTTATTTCTTACCTCGGTATTGTTAAATCACCAAAAATGTCAGTGGGGCTCCCCCTTTCTTTCAGAGGAAAAGCAATAAAAAAGCATCTGTAAAGTTTGCATAATTTCGGTTCTATGTGTGGGTTGTTGGTGAGACACTGCTGCAGTCTGCTATCACTGGACAAATTTTATCAGAACAAGATCCTTAAACATCTTAAAGTATTGAAGAAGTTTTTCATGGACAGTGTTGGAAGTGTAAAGATTTCAAACGCACCTGCTGAAAATGGAAAAGCATTTCAGTGGCTGGCTTCATTTTCCATTAAAACTGGCAGCCATCTATACTATACCACTTCGGTCTTTACTTAAAAGAGGTTTATTTATGAACCTTTGGAGTATGTGGGCGTGTTGGAGTACCTGTGGGATATGAGTGTGCTAGTGGGCAGAAGTGTAACGTGTTGGTTACATGGACAAGTTTGAAATGTCAGCTCTTCTCAGAAGCAGACAGCTTGATGGTGTTACACACTGCAAAATCAGGAAGACTAATTCACTGTAAATTCTGGGTTTACTATATTTAACTATCCTGTATTGATGCACCATGGTATCAGTCTTAATATACATTAAACATAAGATAGTTTATTCCATTTTAAAGTTTACTGTGTATGGTTCAGACGAAGCTTACTGAAAGTAATTTATTTTCCTTCAAAAGCAGGGTGACTTCACACTTACACAGGCTAGCAGGAATTCTGACAGATAATGAAATACTTTTGCAAATTCACACATTGTGCTTGCTGTTGACATTCTTTCTTATGTAGACTATAGCAAAGTCCTAAGGTAGTGTTAGGAGAGATTTCCCTTCCTCGGAATAATTTTATTTGAAATCCAAAATACTAAGAAATTGAATTGACCATTTAGGATACATGATGTCTGTAGCTGTGTCTTATATTTGATGCCATTTGTGGAAGAAGTTGTATAAGATGTCTGTACAGTTCATGGAAGTCCCTTAAATTGTAAGCAGGTGGTTACTGAATGTTATGGATTGCACTCACTGCCGTTTCCCGTACATAACTGTGCTTACAGTCTTTTAGTTGAAATGTTATCTGTGTTTTTCTGTTGTTGGAATTCTTGTTGAAATTTTTACCATCTCAATACCTTTTATGCCAAAATGTTTAGTCTGGAGTTATATAGCAAATTGATTGTGGTGCTTTTGAGCAACCTTTTTGTTGTTATAGAAATGATAAAAATGTTTATAACCTTTTTTTTTCACTGCATCCACATACATGAGTTAAATGCAAAAAAGTTGCATCCATTCATGATTGTGAGAGTTACCAGCCTCTAATGTGCTGGGATTTGATGAATTATATTGATCACAGTATAGCACTCCATACATGTAGATATATTACCCAGATAAAGTATTTATAATGGTAAGAAATTGAACTAAATAATAGAAAATACTTCACAACATTTTACAACTTGGTGTTGCTGTACTCAGTGACCTGAGCTGTATCTGTAGGTGTGGATTACAGTGGCTGTAAATTCAGACCCATCTGTTACAGTGGGGTTTTCTTTGCCATAGTCAGAATATTTTTGGTTAGTTAAGTACCTCCACGATCTAAGGCATTTTAAGTACCTGCTGTTAATCAAAGTCATAAGTTAAAGGTTTCATATTGACTAACTAACAGCTTAAAATTACCTAGGAAAGACAGAAGAAAAAAAAAAACTGTGGGAAGCTTATTTCATTGTCTTTCAAATACTAAGTCTTATACTGTAATGTTCATTTTCAAGTGACTTGTCTACATCT